TATTTTTACTTCTGATGCATAATTTGTCTATTTTGTCTAATTTTTGCCTTTTACGACTGCCTTTTCTTTCCCTATTTTTCTCTTGGCACCAATCTCCATGAAGCTGGAATATATCTGCAAGCATGGAAAACGCAAAGGCAAGATTGTATTTTGTCTTTTGGTGGAAGCAGAGGCTGTGTTAAAAATATAAATGAAAAAGGAAGATGTCAATTAAGATTTTTTTATTGATGCTGATAAAACTTTGTTTGCTCACAAGGAATCCTATCCTACTTTTGAGAATGGCATCTTAGCCCTTCTGAGAACAGCTCTCTGTGTATTGTATACCATTCTCTGTGTTGGCAATTACGCAAGTTACTTAGTGCAAGTGATTACAAATGTGAAGAATGAAAAATATAATTTTCATGTCAGTAATGCCATTTCAAAATTCACCATATCATTTTGAAGCGAGTGTGTCACGAATAAAACAAATTCATAGTCTTCATACTGTATGGCCATGTTAGAATTGAGTTTACCAAGAAAAGATTTCCGTACATGTTAAGTGCTAGTGTGAATTTTAGAGTTTGAAAAAAAAAGTGCATTGTTTTATTTATTCATTTTTTACAATGATTCCTTGGAAATGTGATTTTTCATTATATATACATCTTTTTGCACCTCTACTTTAGCTAGTTTAATTGCTTTTTCTCAAACCTATTTTTTTTTATAGGTCTGCCTCTTGTTGGTAGGTAGGTAATATAAATACCTGAACTTCTGGGCTTGACTAATTATATTTGCACACATATTCTCGAATTTGCCTGGTAATTCAGTCCAATACTTTTGAATGGGCCAGTAAAAAGAGAATCTCAAACAAATGGCGTTGTATCAGGGGAAACGCAATGTGAAAATAAATACAAATCATTGCCAAGATCTTGTTCCACAATGTGCTGATCCAAGAGCCCCCAAGGACTCGATTCGATGCCCGGTGATTCTGAATCAACCTTTTTCAAGAGGGAAATGTAAAGTCACGTTGATAAAATTATGCATTCTACATCCAACTACAGAAAAGGATGATTAAAAATATCTCTGCAAAACTATACCAATTTGTAAAATTGCTGTTATCGCCCGTGAAACAGAGGTTTGAATTCTTAGTGTACAACTTGATCACTGGAACATTAAATAATGTGAAGAGCGAAACAGGACGAAAATATAGTGACAGAGTAGGGAATGTTCTTAGGTGACATCAGATGAGATTTTAAAATGCAAATTGAACATGCAAATCTTTCATTGAGGGCCTTAAAAGTTGGAGGACAATGCAATATGGGAGGAAGACCAAAATGAAAGAAACAATGATACATGTGAAGTGTATTGTGTCAAAAATCATGATAATGATTTTTAGGAAAAAGAAAACAAGTTGGGCAATAAATTTTAACATTCTCATGAAGACAATTTTCTAGTCAATTAGACAATTTGCGATTTCATTTTTACTAAATAGTAAAAATTAGTTCAAAATAAAAAAGATAGCAGGATGCCTCTTCAAAATTACGGGGTCATCTTAAATTGAGAATGGACTTATATTTGGGTAAATATGGTATATACTTTTAAAATTTGTTCTGGAAACCTAATTTTTGTTTAAAATATATTTTAAAATTTTCATGTCCAATAATTCATTAAAACAACAATTTCTGAAATTTGATATTTTTAGACAAAAGTAATTACAATCTTTAACTTCTGGTTCTCTGGTGACAAATGAAAATGCATAATAGCTTTTTCTGAAATAGTACATAATTTACAAGAACTGTATCATAAAATATTTTTTTGGCTTTACTGGCCAGTGAAAGAAGTTCAAACTTTGTGAATTTAGTTTACCATGAATTGTTTTTGTAATTAGTGTTCCTGTACTTTCACAGCTACGTAATTCAAAGGATTGTATTCATTCTATTTTTATGAAATGGATAATATACACTGTGTGGACCATGAACAAATGACGACTTCTCTAAGACCATGATGAGATTGTAAACTCAAGCTGAGCGATGATCACTTGAAACTGATCCTATTTTGAGTAATTAAACAGTCAAAACTTGTATGATGAAAATTTCCTGTTACCTTGGTCTTGGGACTTATGGATGACACTGTGTATACAACAATAGCATGATGTTTTCTTGAAATCTCAAGTTTTGAACATGTTTACCTATAAGTTTGGAGAGTTTATTAATTTGTTCTTTTGACATTAATAATTTGAATGTAAATGATTGAATATTATTATTAAATATATTATTTTTTTGAATATTTATAATTTGAAAATTTTTGTTGTAGTCACTTGGTTTTTAAAAGTATTTTATTAGTAAATATTTCATAAATGATGCAAATTGTATTGTAAATTGTGATATATTTTTTTAAAATGAAGCGAAGGATCCAATACTTTATGAATTTAGTAATGAAGCAAATAGATACTTGTCTATCATTGATAATGGTTGTTCTTTGCTGTTGGCTTTATTGATTATGTAATAACTTCAAAGGGCCATATAATGTACTTGTTTCGATATCAGAGAGAGTAAAATTAATATTTAAGATCATCATACATAGGATTTGATGATCCAATGAATTTCAACAAAAAAGAAAAAATGGATAAGAGTGAGAGGAAAAAAAGAAACATTTACAAACATTTATTATCTGTTTTTGCTAGTTATAAGAATTTCTTTTAAAATTGCTGTATTGCTTGTATATCTTTTTCAACCAGAAATATATTTACTAATCTTATATTCCTGATGTTGCTGTTTATCTACCCTTTAACATAATTTTTTTAATTATTGCATAAAACAATATACCATTTAATTTTACATTATTTCTCAACATAAGTTATTAAACCACTGACAATCAGAAAATAATTTGAGTGGGTTATGTTTAAAACTTTGGTAAGTGTTCATCTAATTGTTTTTACTTGATTCATTGCAAAAGTTTATCATATTTTCAGTGAATTTGCTTTCTGTTAAACATACCATTTTTAAAACTTACGATACACAGTATTATCTAATTACCATTTTGGCGACAGTTCTCCATTTTTCAATTAGTTCATATTCAAATTACTGTATTTGTGGTTAAAATGATAAAAAGTTATGTTACTGGTTCATAAGATACTTTCAACATGACGTTTTTGAAAGAATTTGTTTGTTGAATTTGTAAAGTTTTCAGGAGTGAAAAATTACACGGCGTGAAATCATTGGAATAATATATTAATTGTTTCATCGAGCCATTACAAGCTGTATTCAACCAAAATTTTGCAAGAATTTGCAAGCTCTTTCTAGGCTTTTTTCGAAAAAGCGTGGACGCATGGCCACAAAATAATCACGGAAGCCTACGCAATCAATCTTATTGGGTAGCGCCGTATTCACCACCGACCATCACTCTGGATTAAGATTTTGCCAAAAAACAAGTCGAAACAATTTTCCTGAGGCAATTATAATTCTGGATTCTGAAGATTCGTTAAGAGTAATTTTGGAATTCCGAAGGAAAGAAAGCACACTCTGTTACAAGAGTCGACCTATATCGTTCAGAATCGCGATTCCTTGTTAAATCGATAAAGTATCTATGCTCCCCCTAGTCCGAATTTCCAACGCCATCTTTCTTAGCATGGTAGTGAAATAAATTTGGCTATCTTAAAATCGGCACAAAATGACTGACGGAGGCTTTTTTCGGGTAATGTTTACTTTTCATTGTAATTAAATAACCGTACATTAGTTTTCCGTAGTCTTAATGAAAGTGCGGAAATCATATATGCAGAGCTATTTCGTAAAGACCGACTGCGTTCGTTATTCGTTCTTGTTGCACCGCAGTTAGTAAACAGCTTCTACGGCAACACGACAGCCTGGAACGTTTATGCGGCGACGCGTTCTTTGTTTTGTAGGCAGTTTATAAGGAAAGCGATAGAAACTGCTAGTATTATTTACTGTGTACACGGTGATTTTGGAAATTTATTTCCGCTCTAGGATTGTTAATCACTTCATTAAAAGAAAGCGGACCAACACACGCTCTAACCATGATGTATACTGTAAGTCTACAATCTTGTATTTCTACACGTACATAAATATGTTTTCATATATTTTGTTCATTTTCTGTATATTCTACTTAGTCGTATGTACATTTATGGACTGGAAAATTTGTAGGTTATATGGAGGTGGCGAGATCCAACACCGTAGACTGTCTCCATATGAAAACAAGCGATTGATCTGTGTATTTGTCGTAGTTTCTTTTAACTTGTCATGCAAATTTCTCCTAAAATATAGTGTTCTTTTTGTGAGGTTTCAATATTCCTAAAAAAGAGGTGTTGGGTTCTTTGGAAATTCTGGAGAAATACCAGACCTTGAGTTGTAGCATCAGTATTTACATTTCGGTTTTCTTTGTGTTTACAAATATGGTGTTTGTTGGAATGTGATACTTACCATTTTACACTGTTGCCTCAAAAGTTCAATAAATGTACCTACACTTGTCATTTCCTTTCCATATTGAACATTATTCTCCGTGTAGTTTGAATTTTTCATTGGATGTTTAGATTCTCAGTAAATTTGTAGTTATTTTGAGTTTTTTGTTGATTATTAATCTGCTTTTAAATTTGTGCCACTGAATCTAATATCATGCTTAATTTTTGTATATAATCCCAGGGGACCTCCGCGGAGCAGGACAACCGCTTCAGTGACAAAGAAAAGAAACTTCTGAAGCAGATGAAATTTGGTGATTGTTTGAGCCGAAAGGTATGTTACAATTTCTTGCAAATTCAACTGGATTCCTCAAATTTTAAGTGGGAGTTCAAGTTCACAATAGGTATCCTACAAATCAAGTTGTAAGAAAACTGCTATTTTAATATAATAAACTAGTTTCTCATGATTTTTCACATAAGTTACAGTTAAATGTTGACAAGTTTTGAATTTCCAGAAGAAGTTGTATAATTTTCTCCCTGTTTTGAATAAATAAATATTCACAGTGATAATACAGTTTCTGCAGTAGCTTTTAAAAGAATTAATGTTTTATTGAAAAAAAATTTTTTTTGAAGAACCTTACAAATTTTAATGCATGTTTTGTTAATGTGAATTAAGAAATATTTCAAAGTGTTTATTACACATTAATTTTACATTTACACACATACTCCAGCTATATGCTTAAATGAAATGGTAACCAAGTGGATGAGTATGAAATATTTTTAGTAACTTTCGTGAATGACACATATATAATATATATTGTTGATTACCATAATCTTTATTTTAGGAGCCTGATTCCTACTTTATTTACTCCTTCAATATTTTCCAAAATGTAGTTATTTTTCCTAATAATTTAATCCCTTCATCTCTTTTAGATTGTTCTAGAGTTTTTGAAGCGTTGGAATTTTCTGCTTAATCTCATAATTTTCTAAATTTTTCACCCAACATTTACAGGAATCATCTAAACATTTTTTCTCATCTTTTGTTTTAAACAACTTCTTTGACCACTCCATTGTGATTGACATGCATCTTTTATAAAATTGTAAACTGTTCTTAAATTCTTTCCAACTAATGCTGGAAAATTGTCCATAAGTCTTTCTTGTATTATTAATAACCCCTATTATGATCATCAGATTATTTATTATTAATTTACTGTTACATTGCACTCTCCTTCACTGAAGATTTGATTTTTTTTTTGCTGAAATCAATAAAACAAATGTTTTCTCTGGATTGTCTTATTTGTCTTCAGCATTAGTCAGATGCTGTTTCACATAGCTGTTATTCTTACCTTTCAGTTGCATATTTGAGCTCACACTTTCAAAATTATAGTAGTTCGCAATTCTATTGTCTGCAAATGTAAAACGAACAAGTAATACATGGTCTATAAGTTGAAACTCACAAATACTAATGTAAATATTCATTACTGAAATGGGATTACAGAAATTTGCAAAAGTTAATGAAAGCTTACAATACATTGCTTCACTTACAGAAATGATAAACAATGGTTACTCAATAATTGGATTTTTAAAGTGTTATTCTGATAATCTCTTACTGAATGTCTGTATCATTTCTGTACAGTAGCGAAGTTAAGCTGGCACTGCTTTGTAAGGTGATACATTTTTAGTTTTCTTCAATAAATTTGAATTTTTGAAACTACTGCATAAAGCCTTCTTAGGAAAGTTTAAAGTGAACTTTTAAAATTGGTTATTTGAATATTTTATAGTCAAAATTTTGGTTGTGAATCTTCTCTATTAATATTTAAAAGTATTTGTGATCAATGTTTCATCTAGTTTTATTGAAATATAAACTGGTAGGATATTATACTAATCTTATCACAATGTACTTCTCATATCAGCATGAGCTTTCTTGTCTGTAAATTTACTCCTGAAGTATGCCATTCTAAAATTTAGATACTGGTAGGGTTGTATTTATACATGGTGTTTTTAAAAGTATTCATAGTATTCTTTTCAATTGGAATTGGAGATTCAGAAAGCCTTTAAGATTATTTCTGGAGGTCTATTTACTGTATTTTCAAGGTATTTTATTTTTTTGTCTCCAGTATATAATTACTGTTAAACTATATATTTCCTGATAAAAATTAATTTTGTTGTAAGTGTAGCTGGATTCAAGCATAATCAGAGCTTATAGGAGGTAGATTAAGCAAATAAACTAGACTTGTTTTTTTTAGTGAACCACATAAAAACTTTAATGATGATGAACTCTAGATAATTAAAATTTTGTTCTACTTAGGGCAGCAGTGAATTTGGTTGCTTAAACACAAGCTGTTTCTATGCTAGCTAACAATAACAATTTTTTGCTCTTTCTTTCAACTTAATCAGCCTATGCCTAGCTTGTAGATAGACAGTTAAACAGCTTGATTAACAGTTTTTTAAACCTCGACTAAATAAATGTGCAATATATAGGTGGACATGTCTAAAGTGAAGCTGGATGTCATCAAACCATGGATTGCCCAGAAGATCACAGATATTCTTGGAATGGAGGACGATGTCGTGGTGGAATTCGTGTTTAACCAGTTGGAAGCTGAGAAGGTACTGTTCCTCATTCAACTTTTTAAACATTGATTGGATTCTATTGTGGTGTTATTGATGCAAATTCTTATACAAGTGATAATAAAGGAGTTTATGAATGAATGAATAACGTATTTTGTAAACATGGGCATGGAGGTTTTTAAAAGTAATTCTTAAGTCTAACATTAGTGAGTGATAAGAACATCTAAAATATTACTATGCATGGGTTCTCCATTTTGTTCCCTGAATTTTTTGAGGACGAATTGCTTGCAGCTTTTTCATTATTTTGGCATAATGTCGTTATTTTCAATTGAATTACTTCTCTTCAAAAATTATGAAGATTGTTTTCAATTGAAGGTACTGATATAGGACCAAAATATGTATTTGGCTTCAAATTGATGTAATTAATGAGAACAAAGCATTGTAAATGCTTAACAGACTATAGAAATTAAGGGAACTGATTGTTATCGGTTTCTTCCACCCAATTAGACAGTTACGTTGTAAACTTGTCCCATCACTTCACTTGGAGTGCGAATTCGCTCGGTTCGCTCGTGATCGGGCTGTCAGCCTCCTTCTCACTTAGCTGATTCGTCCTGTGATTCATCCATTTGCCGGCCCGAGTTGCTGGCCTGCTTGCTTCAACAGTTGTCTTCTTTAGTCAACCTCACCATTGAGTCTGTAATAGAGAATGAATATGGAAAGGTTGGTACTCAACACATTATAAAACCTTAATTTTATTTTCTTGAAAGTCCAAATTATTAACATGAAATCTTTATGGACTTGCTCTTAGTTTCATTCAATTTATTTGTAAATGTTCATTTAAAATCCGTGGAAAGACATTTAGCTAATCTTGTGTATCTAATAAAATATTGAATTTAATGATATATCAATGTAAGGACATTTTTTTCTTCTATGTTTTACATTCACTATTGTCATGGTATTGACGGTGCTGCAAGGTCTTCAATTATTGGCACTGTTGCAGGTGTTTTATGAAGATAGGTCATTGAAATGTAATTTCGATATCATGATTTTGTCTAATGTCAATCAACCTGATTCTTAACTACCCTAATTTGTCATTTTGGTGTAATTTTCCTCTTTGGATATAATTTTTTTATAATCTAGCTTTCATTTGCAAATATTTGTCTCAGAGTATTAAGAATCTTTTGGATTTTAAATTTTCTTTTGAAAATTACAAAGAGTAACATGTTATTGAGCAAAGTTTTCATCTTAGAGGTAAGTACATTAGATGGGAAAAATTGTGTACCTCAACAGTGTCAATTTATTGAGAGAGAATGCTGGCAACTCAAGCCATGCTTTTAATAGCTTTGAGACATATCCGATCCCCCTTTTTTTTAAAGAAATATTTGAAAGTTAAAGTTCTATTTGCAGTTTTTGACAATTTTTGTAAGGGTGTGGATTGTCGTATATTGTGGCAGTAAACTTATACTGTGGTTCAATTCAGTCTTCTAGCAGAAGAGGAAGGAAGACTGTTGAAGGCGTTGCTAAGGCGAGCGTTTGACAGGTGGTATATACAAGCTCACACACCTGGTAGCCGGTATTTCCTAATCTTACCTTACCTTAACAATCAGTTTTATCAGAGACTTCCAGTAAGGATGCTAGCCAGAGACAATATTGAACCACTGAACATGTTCACTGCAGTTTTGATATTCAGGCTGGGAATTTTAGCAGGATTCTGAAAATGAAATAGAATACCACTGAGAAATGAGTTTGGTAGTGTATTCAAATTTTACAAAGCTATTGTTACTTAAAGATTCACAAGCTCTTGAAACAAAAACAAGCCTTTTATCAGCCTCCAATGCATTTTCAGATACCTGTTGAAACAAATTATATAGGTTAGGAATGATAATTATCCGTGGAAACAAACTATTGAATGTTAATTAGACAACGATTGATTAGTTGTCTGGGATATTTTTCTTTCTTGCTGCTGCTGCTGAGAGGTAAATACAGGTCGTGGTGCTAACGTTTTTGTCCCATTTTTTTTTTTGTTTTTTTTTTAAAGATGTGGTCATGCTCATGACACAATCAAGCAGAAGAAAGTATTCTCAGACCTTTGGCTCAATGTTGTCTACAGATCATGCCTTCAGGCATCCATGCTGTTAAAAGTTGTATTTAAAGTTACTGTTTTATGTAATGTCACTTTTTTGTAATGTTGAAAACTACTTTGCTGAAAGTGATGTACAATCATTAGTATATACCATGGATTCTTGACTTAAATGCCACAATAAAGTTTTTTTTTTTTAATCGAAAGTGTATAGAATATTTGAACTACGCCTATTAAGCCAGAAATAACATAAGAAGAAAATATCAAAATAAATAAACTAGAAAATGGTCGTTGTTCAGATCGAAATTTTTTTCCTGAATTAATAATGGATCCAAAAGTTTAGGTCCATGAATATACTAATTTTCAGGGTTATTGTTTGGCATATGCTTATGTTCATCAGACTAAAGTTTATTTAGTGTGAGTAAAAATAGTAACTTTAAATATAAGAGAATTTCTTAATGGTATTTAAGTTAGCTGACAGAACTTCGTACATTGTAGAAAAGGATGATTCAATTTATGTTCTTGCATATAGGGGCGATTTTGTGTTTTTATGAAAGTCACTAAGTAGTATCTGGATGTATACTCAATGACAATATGTGTATAGGTTCACATTTCCTTCTAATAAAAATCTTAAACTCATAAAGATTGTCTTAATAAAAGCCCTATATGTTGAAAAGAGGATACATTGGATTTTGCCTGTTAAATTCTATTAACTTCGGGCAAGTGTAGCTTCAGATGATACTAAAGTTCATAAACAGATCATAACATGTGCTGTAGTAATTAGGAGATGTAATTTTGTAGAAAACATGGTTTTAAAAATGTAAAATGAAAATACATTTTTAATATACATAAGAAACAAATTACTTTGAATACTTGAAGGAAGTTGATTAGTTTCAGAATTTCATTTTTAATTTTGGTTTTCCTTTTTCATTATTAGCCATCTCAAATGAATATTTTACTCTGAACTTATTTACCTTCTTGTGGCAGTAAATTTTGTGATCTTGTTTGTTATTCAATTTATTAGTAATTTGCTGTTCAGCATTTTAAGTTGAATTTTCTTCTGCGGTTATGTTTTTCTTCTCTAGCTGAGATTTTTTTTAATGGGACTTATTGAAATATAAACACATACACTTGCCCTTATTCATTCAAAATTTACAAAATTTCATGGTTTTATGAATAATTTCATTTGAAGCCTGAATGTGAAATGGGAGTTATGGGTCAGTGAGTGAGCATGCATTAAAGGAAGGTGTAAAAGAAGTAAGTAATTTCATGATATTGAACAGAAGTTTTCTTCCCACCTGTCTGTCAACATATAGCACCCGGACCCTAAGAAGATGCAGATCAACCTGACAGGCTTCTTGAATGGGAAGAATGCCCGAATCTTCATGTCTGAGCTGTGGGAGCTGCTTCTGTCAGCACAAGACTCAGTGAGTGGCATCCCTGGGCAGTTCTTGGAGCAGAAGAAGGAAGAAATAAAGAAAAGAATGGTAATTAAATATGCCAGTCTTTCTAATTATTTATTTGGCTGTTTGTGACTGAATATTGTGTCAAATTTTATTTACCTGAACACTTACGAACACTTGATTATAAACATGATATTCTTAATAGCATGTTTAATTGTTAATTGTAATCAATTTTGTTTTGCTTTTAGTTATCATTTACATTGTTCCTCACACTGTTTTGTACTATAGCATCAACCTTAAATTGAAATACACCAAAAATGAACTACAGTGTTGCGGGATTTGTACTTTTATATTGTCCAAGGCAGATCTGGCTTTGAACACTCCTCAAGAAAAATAAATGATCGTAATAATATAATTTATCATAATAAATATATTTATACAACAAGCAACAATAAAATTATAATGAAAAATACTTAATTGAGACAAAGATGTTTTGAATTATTATAATGAAGATGATCTGAAGGTGACTGCATGTGCATGTGATTTGTTAGAGGAGTCTAGTCCGTCCAGGTGACGCTGCGTCGAGGGCAGTGCAGTGCTGCCAAATCGAGAAAGTCACACGACTCCGGTTGCGGAAGTCTATGATTTCATGTGATTTGTTGGTTATTATAACGAAGATGATCTTATGAGGAAGATTATCTGAATTAAGGTGATGGCATTCAGAATTATAACGATGATCTGAATGAAGGTGAAGATGATGTTCTGAAATACGATCTTCTGAATTAAGATGTTCTGAGTGGATGATGATGATGATGATGATGATGATAATGTAAATGAGATGAACACTGGTTATTGGGAAAATAATTTTCTCTCTCAATTGCTGATGTACCCCAGACGTTCACGACAACAAGATTTCAACTTGCGTATATATAGAGTAATATACCAGAATACAGGGAAAGTTATGTAAAACTGGAAAATAAATTTCAAGATTTTGATGGAAATACTTGTTTTCGGGTCTCCTGATACCAAAGTGTTCTTGGTTGTTGTGTGTGTGTGTGTGGCAGCTAAACTATGTGTTGGATTTTTTTCCAAAATAAATACTCCGTGGTCAATCTAGCTAGACTCAAATCTCTGCGATTTTGAATAACATTCTTTAAATTTTGGGGGTACTGTACATGAAGCCCTTGGTACTTTCAGAATTTTCTCAAAAATGACACGAATTTTTTTCTGTAAATTTATTTTAGAAATAGTGTGAAATACTCATATAAAGATGGTATAAATCTGATTTTCACTCTTGAAAATCACTGAATTTTTGAAAATTGCAAAAGTTTGAAATTCATTCAGCATCTTTCTAAAATTACAATATTGAAGATTTTTTTTCTCCAAATGAATTTTTCAACAACTAGTTCTTTAATATTTGGCAGGTACTTTTTACTTTCCTGTATACGTACATATATAGAGAGTTATATAAGGAAAGTTATGTAATGGTGCAGAAAATCCATTTCCTGATTTCAATGAAAAACACACTTTAGATCCTGTGTTATTAAAAAAGTGGTATTTTTCATAAGTCAGTCTGTCTATGAACACCACTTGCACCAAAACCATACGTAGGATTTTTCCCAAAATGGATATTCCCGGTTTATCTAGCTTGGGGCTGTAATTTAAAAAATATTCTTGAAAATTTGGGATTGCTTTACATGAAACCTCTCGCACGTTTTCAAAATTTTGTCAAAAAATGCTCCTTTGCTTTAAATTTCTTGTAAGAATGGAGTAAAATACCCTTATAAAGGTGACATAGGTCATATTTTCAGGGTTAATTCTGAATTTCTGGTAATTTTGAAATTTTTCGTACCTCTTCTTCCTTCTTAAGGTCATGCATAATTTTTTGAAAATTTTAGTAGTTTTCGTGCAATGTTGTGAACTATAGGTGCAATTTTTAAAACTACAAACTCAACATTATCTCAAAAAGGGTTCCAAGTTTTTTTCTTTATACTATTTGTTGAGATAGTTCTAAATGCACTCTATAAGATGGCATAAATGCGATATTGCTCTTTCGTTTTATTTTTTCAAAAATTACTAAAATGTAGTTTTTTTACTTCTCCCACGTTAATATTTATATTAGCTGTAATTTGTTCACATTATTATAATTATGAGTACATGTGCTTCAAATAATGTCCTATAAAGTTTCTCGGAAACTCTACAGTGTTTTGTAAAAACTAGCTCTAAATCTTACATTTTCAGGAATGTTCAAATGCCTTTTTCTCAAAAAGGGCTCCAAAATGTTTTTTTTCTAACTTTTCGAATGGATAGTGATAGTACACTCTTTATTATGATCCTTTCTTTCGTTCTTTTTCTTTTCTTTTTCCTTTTCTCTTTTTTCTTTTCTTTTCTTTCCTTCTCTCTCCAAAAATTACACAATTGTAATTTTTTTGAAATCTCTCTCACTGTTAATATGCACATTTCCAACTATTTGTAAACACTTGTATTTGTGAGTTAAAATTCTTCAAATTTAACATTTTCAGTTGCACTTAAGAACCATTTCTTAAAAAATAGGCTCCAAATTTTTCACAGAAAATTGCCATTTAGGGCAAAGTTTTACTGTCCTTTAATATGAAAAGATAATATTTCTGTTCTACTATTAGGAAAAATTAAGAAAATTTTTAAAAAATTTACTCGGACAGTGATAGAGGACAGGCAAGAGTATGTGACAAGTTCGTATAGCTAGCTGGGATGCCATTTTGCTGTTTATTTTTTCTTTCCCAAAAATAACATGTTATTTTTGACATCTTACTTCGTCAATACTGACATTACCAGTGATTTGTACTTGTTATAGCATTTATGAGTGAAGGTGCTTCAAATGCCTTATGAAGTTTCTGAAAACTCAACCTTTCTTGTGAAAATGAATTCAAAATTCTGCATTTTCAGAAATACTCAAATGCCTCTTTTTTGAAAATGGCTCCAGATTATTCTTCAAAATTTTTGTATGTAGAGTGTAACTTTGTTTATACTATGCTTTTTTGTTTGTTAAGTCTTGCGTAAATTTCTATAATTCCCATGCTGAATTATTTCAGTTATACGTTTCATGTTTATACAATTTTCACACTTATATGTTCATAATAAAAGTCTCTTTAAGACTGTATAACGTTCAAATTATCCTGGTGAGGCATAGGACAACCTGCATTGAGAGCTTGGAACTTGTTTGTTTTCAAGTGGGCATGCTCCAGAGTGCGCCCTGGGAGCGACCTGAAGCATTGCTTCTGAGGCGACTTCCCGCTTATGAAACTTGTAATATAGAAACTGGACTCTGCTAAGCTCAGGGGACAAGACCGTGCGAGCCTGCAGGCAGGTAGTGAAAAGTCGCTCCTGGGCTACCTCCAGTAGCGTAACTTCAAAAAAGTTCAGTCAGGTGCATTTGAGAGCTCCTCTGAGAATCTCAGGAGGCGACGGCTTGCACCGAGGGAAGGTCAAAGACATCCCTAAGATAGAGTATCGACGGAGATGACCAATAAGTGAGGAAGTTTGTGCACTGACTGTCCCACTCTCCGAAGGGCTTGCCATGTTATATAATATGATATTTTTTGGGCATGGCACAAGCAGCTAATCACACTGATCACTTTTCCCCACGACCCGTCAGGTGTTGCTAAGCTCTGGGGCTGTTGCAGTCATGCACTTCCTGCTGCACACCGTGCTTTGACCCATGGAATCTCAAGTAATACCAAGCTTGAAACCGAAGCAACCAACTGCAGATCACTGCCGCCAGTTGTAGCCCACACTGGACACCTTTGTTTTGGCAGTGAAACAGAGCCGCACAAGGTCATCAGTAAGGTCCCCATTTTGTGTCTGCTACCTCCATCACAGGGGACACTTTTGTGATTAAGACCTTAGTTCGACGATACTTTTTCCAAGCTGACCGAAGTTGTAATTTGTGGCTCTGTGTTCAAGTTGAAGTATAGTTGGTCTTCTATCTGGTTTTGCGTCCACGATATTAAATGAAAGCCAGTGGGAGGAAAATGCAACACCTTCCAATTTCAGATGAAATAAAAAAATTTAAAGTTTGTAGGGAGAGTGGCTATAAAAAATATATATTGCTAAATAAAGGAAGGATACTTTGAAGTTATCTTTTGCTTTGAATCCGCCTGTTAAACTTTTTTTTTTAACAAAATCACTGATTTTTGAGTCTCCCATATTTTTATAAATAAGCTGTTTTCATAAAATTTCTACTATATGTTGTAAGTTTGTTTTTTAAATGTTAGAACTACTTTTTTAATGTGTTGTGAGTATATTGGTGAAAGCAATTTTGATAGTGAATTACAAATTTGTTTTGGAAATCAACAATTGTTATGTTAGTCTAATAACCTATTAATATTTCTTTTGTCAAGAATGTTCAATTAGTTCGTTTTAGAATATTTAGTAAATGTGTATTCACTATTGTTACCTTCTTTGTTTACTGTGTAAAATTATAGGAGGAACAAGATCGAATTCAAGAAGCCTTGAAGAACAAGTTGGAGAAGGGAAAAGAAAGAGAAGAAGCAAAAGACCGGAAAAGAGAGAGGGAAAGAGAACGTGACAGAGATAGGTAAGAGTAGTTTGATTAACTATTTCTTCAATCCTTTACTGAATTTCAGATTAATAATATCGTTAATCCTCCTAATAACAGTTAAATGCTGCATAGTCAGTTTTCATATAATTCAAAGGGGTGCATTGTTATCGTTGCCATACAGTTCAAAGTATTTTCATGTCATGTGCACTCATTCATGACTAAAATTTTCTTCGCGTAGTTGACTATTAAAAATGTTAACTTTATCTTAACCTTATGAATGTAACCGTTGTAGAATTGACAACCATGACAACCATGTAATGTGGGATGTAGCTCACATGCTTTAGTCTGAGTGTAAACAATTAGTTTGCATAAGTTTTGGAATCTTTTCATTCCATCATCAATGAACCCAAACAAACAAAAAAAAAAAGTACAGTACCGGCTGCGTATAAGAAACTGACAGTTCTCTTGCCATGTGCTGTGGTATGTCATGTGACCTGCTCTGAAGCAACCAGCTTGCGAGGATTTGTTTACTTTTTTACAGTCAGGGTTCAGCATTGCTGCTCGTCTGACACAAATGTCGCAAAAGCGATAAAGTTCGGCATTGGCGAAAGTTATGAATATGATATTAAGACGTGTCATAGCCTGTCAGTAAGTGTCAAATGATTTGAGATTGAATGTATCTAATGTACGTAGGTGGTGTGTCAACAGTGCACAGAACTGTCAGAGTTGCTTATATACTGCTGGTATTGTAATAATGTTAATTTAAGCCATGTTCTTTCAAAAAAATGAAGTTGGAAGGAGCAGAGACCTAATTTCAGTTAAACATCAATTTTCAATTTCATGTAAGTTTTCATTCCCTAAATTTTTTAATAGAAGTGTATTTCCATTGTTTAAAATTCAAGGAAAAATCTCAATTCTGTCTTAGGTTATTATCACTCATACAAACTGAATTCCCTACTTTTATAAAGCTAAAATTATACATTTCAAAGATGGCAGGCAAAGAGTGGCGCATGGGCTTGTATGTACAAGTTCCAGTGGTGTGCCTGCCAATGGGTTATCTTCGTCTAGTAATCTCATGAAATGCTTAATACAAGGCCTTATTAAATGAGGAAATCTTGATCTTATAGACAGATAATATGCCTATATTTATTGTTTCACAATACTTGATTATTTTTTTTCAATAAGATAAGTATTGGTTCTGTCTACTTACAAGGAAAAGAAGTCGTTCAAGAGATCGGCATAGAGACAGAGATCGTGATCGAGAAAAGGACAGGCGAGATCGAGACCGAGAAAAGGATCGTGATAGAGATAAGGATCGTGAAAAGGAAAAGGAAAAAGAGAAGGATGACAAAAAGGACAGAGAAAAGGACAAGGATCGAAAAGAAAAGGAGAATAGTGTGCGGTCACCGTCCAAGTCACCTAGGAGGTACGGACCTTAATTGAGCTCATTTGTAACAATTGTTTCAAATACCTTTACATGTGAAATCATTTTCATTGCATTATAGTACGTATTGATCTTAATGCCCAATTCATTAAGTTCTTTTATTTTACTAAGCACCGGTGCCAAGGATTCTTTCTGTAGAGTTGAGTGGATATGGTTAAACCTTTCTTATATTTTGAAATTAAGTTATTTCTGAAAGACTTTGTGTAATAAACAATGAACAAACAAAAAGAACTGCTTATCTTAATTGAATTTCTTCAAAATCTTTGGGGATCTAGAGAGATGATTTTCAAAAAATAAAAATTTTATTATAAAAAAAGGGAGTGAAGCGATTGTCAACTAATTTATTTCACACTGTAAACTTGAAACTGGGACTTAATATGACTGGAAATGGGGAATTCTGTGGTAATGCATTACTGTAAATATTTCAGCTGCTATGTGCCCACAAATTTTAACATGCTGTTCAGCTATGTTAAATGTGTGTTGGTGTGCATGCGTGCACTTGTGCATGCATGTACCTGTGCATGTTTATGTGGGTAGGTAGCATCCTTCCATAATTTTTTGGTATTTAAATTAATTTATCTAAAACCATTGACATCACTTCAAAAGTTGTATTTACAATATAAATACACATTTTAAGGTTAAAATGTGTTAAAGAATTGAAAATGCATTAGACATCCAAAGTGCAATTGCCTCTCTCCCTCTGAAATACTTTCTGGAACTGCAGTACAGAATTTTGAACATGGACAAAAAATTAAATGTATGGATCAGAATTCAAGTGCTGAATCGAAAGCTTTGGAAATGCTTTTACTACAAATTTTGTGATTTGGTTTGGTTTTAAGTCTGGGGTCATAGCACAACTGAACCAAAGAGAAAAAAGCGTTCAGAAATAAATTCAGAAATTGAAATTCAGAAACCAAAAGGTTTTTTCCTAATATCTCTCATCCCACTCAAAGGCATTCTTACGGAGATTTAATGGCTTGAAAATTCTTTACAGATGTAAAAAAACATGGCTTCTTCATTTCCTTGTTACGTAGATCAGCAACTCCTCAAAGGCAAGCTGAGAAGACCGACAATAAAGATGAGCGGAACAACAATGAAAGGCATTCATCCTCCTCACCAGAACCCCGTGCGGAGGAGAAAAAGAAGCAGGAGAATTCAAAAGGGTGAGGTTATATTTCTTGTTGTCTTGAATGTTGACCCATTGCATGTGTGCATGTGAAAGTTCAAGCAGCTTTCTGAAAAATCCTCTTTGCTGGAGATGTTGATTCCCATCTGGGTGAAAGTGCAATGTTAATTTCATTTCTTTTGATTCTTCTTTTCTTATTATTACTATTATTATTTTTAATTTGGTGTGTTTACTCTTTTCTTGGAACTGAAATATGAATGAACATTTAATGTTCTTAAGAAAAACAAAATTTATGAGTTTAAGAACCCTGATACAATAATGAGAATATTGAGTTAGAGGTCAGAGTGGTTTAGAAGTTATGAATTATCATCCGAGATGTTTAGATGGCCAGTGTATAACTATTGAATCAGTTGTTTTCAAATTTGTGTTAATTCTTTGTTCTGTTTACATCAATATTTATCCTTTTATTAACTTTTCAATGTAATTAACTTCAGTTTAATTAAAAGTCTGTTGATAGTTTTAGAACAGTTTCTTACAAACAGTTCGTGGTTTTCCAGTAGTTGTTATAGGAAGAAATTGAATTTGATTTTATCTACTGCCTTGGTATTCAATTTTGACCGTGCATCCGCTTCTTTTATTGTACTATATACATAGGATTTTCTTAGCGCAAAATGCATTGAGGGTTTCTACGGGACTTCTTTTTCATATCCCAAATATGTAGATTAGATGTTCTAAAACCATAATTTAATGAGAGATCATACATTTATGAAGTAATAATTTTAAACTCTTATGCAGAAATGCCATTCTAACCCATTAATGCTTGGATTAAGTAGTACATGCCCATTTTTGTCATATCCATTTGTGCAGAGCTCTTGAACTATCTCATTGCATTTGTATGAAACTTTTATCTTCAAATTGTTGAGCGGACCGAAACTACATTTGCTTGTTTATATGAATTTTTTTTTCTTAAAGTAGAAGTTGCAGAACTGTTAGGACCTTCATTGCATATGTGCTATCAACATTGGTGCAGACCAACCACCATTTGCTTTACACCGTTCTCTCTTTCTCTCT